GAAGATGGATTCGACTATCCCGACCAAGCAGACGCCTTCGAGTGAGGTACGGCTCCAGGTGGCGACAAGTGATTGTGAGATCACGAAGATTCCGCCTGCGATATGGTAGGAAATTGCTTATGCTTCGTATTAAAAGGGGATTCATTAAGATATATCGAGGAAGACGTTGGTACCGAGTGAAACGGCGGTCTCGCAGAGTCCCTCGGCGCAGGAGAGTACGAAGGCGAAGGAGGAGATTGCGACGACGAAGGCGAAGACAACGAAGGCGAATCCGACGAATGCGGCGACGAAAAAGGCGACAGCGGCGACGGCGTAGGTTACGAAGACGAAGAGCCAGGATACGCAGACGAATGCGACGATTTAGACGAAGACAATTGAGAAGACGCAGAAGAAAATATGGAAGGAGACGAAGAATACGCTGGAAACGAAGACGCATAAGTGTGCTTCGAATATTTTACAGAGGGCGATGGATGAAAGCTTATCGAATTGGACGTTCACTGAGATTCCGATACGGTAGAATAAGGTATATAAAATAATTTTTACTCTTCTAGCTTTTTCTTGGCAGTGTAATGTTAACTCAGGAATGCAACTACTAGATCTTTATTTGTTTCATTGATTTTGCTTGGAATATCACATTTATACCCTGTCCGCACCGAAGCTGAAACGAGTTTAGCAGCTGTTCATTTACGAAATAAATAAATAAATAAATTGAAATAAATCGCGATATTCGGAGAGGAAGCCACATCAGCCTCACCTGGTTATCATGCAGGTCCTCATTTTAAACGTGAACAATGGAAGATAGTTGCAAGATAGATCATTTCCCCTGTAGGCCTTATTCCCAAGGTAACATATCTCCCGACCTTTTTTTAGGTCAATCCCGGTTTCGGAGATCCCAGGAGGGTCTGGCAATAACCAATCCTGTTACGCAGAGTTTGTTGCGTGGACAGTCCACGTGGGTTTTGCACATATTTTCATACCTCCACAAAAACATCCACGCAACGCGCGTGGTGACTACCTGTGGAAGTAGTGCCGGGGTACCATGTCTTATATATCTTGAGAAGGGTTTCTTCCTTAGTAACGCTTGTAAGGGAAATTTTATCTCTTATCCTTCATCTTCCCTTGAAATGGTCAGAACTTGTTTTGTGCATAAACACTATTTAACTCAATTGTTGGGAATGGTCTTTTAATTAATCAAGCCACACGAGAGAGCCTGTTTTAGCCTTTGTAAGCTTTCAGGGTTGACTTTTTGCAATATTTTATCAGCGTTTTTTCTAACTAGTTTAGTTGTCGAGGAGGGAGTCTCACGAACTATATACTTAAACCAGTATACAACAAGTGAAATTTGCCTAAGGATAAAATAGAATTGCATTTTACTACATTACCCACAAAAATGCTGGTGAATCAAATTAGAATCGTACTTTTTTTCCGGTTGAATTCCTTCTCAACAAAATGTGCTGATTGGGAGCAGTGTAATAACAGAATTCGGTGCTCACTTGTCAGTTCAATGTTTCATTACCCTGCAGATGTCGTCGTGGTGTTGTTAGCATCGGTGTTGGAAGAAGATGGCATAGGATGACCAGACTTAGGGGTAGAGTGCAAGTACTCTACCACCGCATCTGGAGGAGTCTGATACGTAAGAGGCGAATGATAGTCGTTCGAATAGGCCGCAAACTAATGAAGATTTCCATTCGTCACGGGCGAGTACAGATGCTTATCCCAAGCCATTACGAAACGGTAAAACCGAAGCCGAAACCAAAACCAAGACCACGACGGAGGCGACCGACGAGAAGAAGACGAGGGCGTTATGGACGTGCGAGAGGACGAAGAAGGCGACAGCGTTGGCGACGACGATTACAACGACGACGTCGAAGACGTAGACGGCGCTACATACGCCGACGCAGGCGGCCTATGATTCTTTTCTATTACCGCAGAAGTTGGAGACCGATTGTGAGGTGGCGGGGTGGATACAGGATGCGTTACCATCGTCGATGGATAACCTTCCGGTGAGAAAAATGATATTTACAACAAAGGAAATGCCACTTAAAAATATCGTAGAGAATTGTTCAGGGGGAGAAACAATAACTTCGTGTACATAATTTTTAGATTGTGGTTAGTGAACATTCTAGCCATTCTTGTATATTCACTTCTTGCGTTAGGGTAAAAGTAGGTAGAAATGAGATAGCGCACAGAAAAATGACAAAATGGCAAATGACTTGAACTGCAGGACTTAAGCATTGTACGTCCGGACTGCCAGTTGCTGGAATTTATATATTTAATTTATTCTAATTTATTCGAGCTCCGGGAGTTGTGTTTGCGTCCTCCACGTCGGACAGCAGGATATTGAAAGTTCTGTTCTGACTCTATTTTATTTGAATTTCAATCAGATATCTTAGAGGACGATACTTCCGAGTAACGTACAAAGGAAAAAGCCGCATAATACGTCGAATCACACGGCGTTTCAAGGTCCGCGTGGGTTTTGGTTGGCGCTATATCGTAAGACGTCGTGGAAGGCTTGTTCTTCGGTTTAGACGGCGGTACAGACCATTCAGATTAACGGGAGGACGGCTCATGATACGCTACGGTCGGCGCTGGAGAGTAATCAGGAGAAAGCCACGACGACCAAGACGGCGAAAGAAATGGAGACGGAGACGAAGACGACGACGAAGGCGGCGAGTGAGACGTCGGCGTCGTCGATACCGACGCCGTCAGCGACGAATAAGACGACGCAACGTTCTTCATTTTAAATATGGCCGAAGGTGGATCCCAGCTTACCGCCGAGGTAGATACCTAAGAGCTCGAATCAGGGGTGCATGGAGAAGAATAAGGTATGACATCACAATCATTTAACTTGTCATAATTGGAGAGGAAAATTAGCAAAAGTAAAAACGTCAGTAGAATAAAAAGTAATCCACGGTGATTGGTCTTTTTTATTAGATTGGAGACAGTGAAACAATGCAAGAATCTATCAATATATATAACAACACACCCTTTTGAAGTAATTTATATAGCTTTTGTGAAATATGCGTTTAGTACAAACTAGGTCACTTAATGGCGTTTGAGACGTCTTGGCATTTTTTTTAATTGTTAAAAAATTGAAAAATTGTAGTCTAGTAGTGAACTCCATTGACCTTACGAGGTAGTTTCCAGACGACAGGCCGACGGCAGACAACAATAGGTTAAATNCCAACAGTCAGCCGATAGAAACCGAGATCGAGCGGTCTAGTTTTTTAATTATTAGGAGGGGGTGACATGAGTTTTTGTTACAGACGTGGCCAATCAGATTGTGTGTTTAATTAATAGTCAGTTAATGGGTGTGGTACAAGCAGATATGCCTTTTGCGTGAATTAGTTGCTTATGTGCCCGTAGCTTTTTGATTCGGACGTTATATGTTGATTTCGCTCGCTTCTTAAATGAAAATCTTAAATTCCAAGTGTTAAGAGTAACTTTTGCTCTCATATCAGATTACAATTTTCAAATTATGTATCTCTTTCTTCTTGTGCAGGTGTCGCCGTGGCCGCTGGAGTGTATGGAAGAGGCGAAGATGGTTTAAACTTCGCCGTAGAAACCGTGTGAAGATGCGCTATCGCGGACGGTGGAGACGAATTTTATACAGACGCCGTAAATTTGTGGTACGTATAAAGCAACGTTACAGAAAGGTATCGGTCCGCCGCGGAAGATTGAGGCTACGTTTTAGACGAAGAAGACGAAGACGACGACGACGGCGACGAAGGAAAGGTTACTTGAGGAGGACGAGGAGAAGAAGACGGCTTTGGTTGGGGAGGCGACGACGGTTAGGTCGACTGAAACGGCTGAGACGATTAAGACGCCTCAGACGACTGAGAAGAAGAAGGAAACGACAAAGGGTAAGGCGAAGATGGCGGAGACGAAAGTTACGACGAGCGAGAAGAAGGCACAGGAGGAGAAGGCGACGAACTAGAAGAACAAGAAGACGCAGAAGAAGGCGCAGACGACGCAGACGAAGGCGCCGTAGGCGACTGGCCAGAAGCGTAGCGCTAATCTACTTCGCAAGAAGGTGGAGACGTACTTTCAGAAGAGGAAACAGGATGGTTTTCCGAATGGGACGAAGATTTATAGTAGTCAGGTAAATTGAGTATCTTCAAATCTCGAGATTCGTAACCACAAAAAAGTTTGCAATAAATGATTGAACGTCTTTCTGCGGTTTGAAATGTTGAGAATGCAGAAAAATTCGTACCTACCTTGCCTTTTTGTCAAGAGGGCCATCTTTGCTGACGTCACCGTTTACATTTCGCCCTAATTACACAGGCGATTTTTATCGCGTATCGTCGCGCCGAAATTGCAAATTTAAAATAGCGCGTGGCTGGGATTTTATTGCGATTTTTTATCGCCGCGACTCGCCGAGATTGGATTTCAACTTACAAAAAGCGGTATCTTTGAGCAGCAGTTTCGCCACAGAGCAGGCGCACGTGTTTTGGTTGCAAAATGGCGTCGTGATGAGTGGGATTTACCCAACCTCTTATTTTTCTCTTTTTTTGCTTCTGTGAACTACTTAGTAAATATACCGCACGGAAGTAAAGCAAGACTTAGCTGCTGCTTGTCCATGCATTGCCACTGCGGTCTTCAGTGCTCAATAAAAGACATAACAATGCAAGCCTCCTCGAAGTGGCCTTCTCTGAATTTCCACCATAGCTGCAGCGCTTTTGTCGCTCTTCTTGTAACCATTGGAATTTGTTTGGTGTAAGCAAGGGCATTTTCGCCATAGCTCAACTAGAAGTTCCTCTTGTATGTTCACAGTCGGTTTCGAGCTCGTGTTTTTTGTCCTTACTCAACTCTTGCGTGACAACAAGACCTCCCGAGAGGCCCCTTGTGGTTCATGGTTGTCAATTTCGTAATAGGAAATCGTCGTAAAATCGAGCACGTTCTTAACTCCTGCGATATCGGGGCAATAAATCGCATTAGAATCGCACTGAAATCGCAGCTGGTTGACACGCGTGATTTTGAATTTGCAGTTACGGCCCGACAAATATCGCCTGTGTAAACGGGCCTTAAGAAATTAACCTGATGAAAAAGGAATAGTTGTAAGTTTTCCGACGGGAGGTCCGTATCGATAAAAGGTTTGTGGCCGAGGGCCGTTTCAAGGCCAAGGACAAAGTTTTTCTCGATGCGTACCAGACCAAGCTGACAAATAATGTCTCTATATATTTTTTTTCTTTTGACAAAACTTCGAAAGTTAGTGGCGAACGAATTTAAAATCGCAGAAATAAGCATGGTTAAAAGGTATTGAAATGCCAGCGTGCACTCACTAACAGTGAGAACTAATGCGTTTCGTTCTGATAACTTGCATTATCCAAACCCATCTCTTTTTACTTGTGCGTTGTGTTTCTTTACATTTACATAGGCTACATAGTTTACAGTGGGGAGGCGCGGTGGCCTCTCGGTTAGTGCGCTCGTCCCCGGATCGAGCGGTACGGGTTCGAACCCTGGCTGGGGACACTGTTGTTTCCTTGGGCAAGACACTTAACTCTCACAGTGCCTCTCTCCAACCAGGAGTATAAAATTTGGTACCTGCGAATTGTTGGGGAAATCCAACAAATTAGGGGGGGAGTGACCTGCGATGGACCGGCATCCCGTCCAGGGGGAGTAGAAATACTCCTAGTCTCTTCATGCTACAGAAACCGGAATAAGCTCCGGCAGCTATGAGCCCGTCGGCTCCAAGGCTTTACTCTATAGTTTAAAGTGAACCAAACGCTAAGTTTCTTTAAGTGGATGCGAGAGTCCGTTTCGTGAGAAACTGCCCGGCGTAATTAGCCAATCAAATTCGTAGATTCAGGATGCTTGAGACAGAATAAAACAATTTTTAAAAAACCTGCGCTTGGCTGCGGTACACCAAATTACTTCATGCCAGGGAAATCGAAGTTAAGCAATGGTCCTACAGAGACAGTAGTATATAGTATATTGTAAAAAAGGAAGTGAGCTATCTATCGATAGTGCAAAACAAGAGCAAGTTATGTTTCTACTAGAGAAAACGTACCTACAGATCTTTGACATAACAATGATATATTTTACAATGATTCATGTCACGCACGTTTTTCAACGTTAACCGTACAGGGTTTCCCTTCTTGAATCCTTGATATGCTCAGGAAAATTTTTCCAGCGCAGTACTGGTAGATTCTGCAAATGGTAGTAGGTAACTAATGATTTCAATTTATCAGTCCCCAAACTTGACAAATCCTTGTAGGCGATAAGTGGATGGTATTTAGGAGCTCGGAATAAAAGAGCTTATAGCTTTACACAATATTTAACAATGTATACAATGCTTGAATCCAGAATTTTTATTCTATTTAATTTGTTTATGTAATGAGCGTGACTCGTAGTTTGAATTTAACCGTTCAGAGACTAATTTCTGTTGCTTTTAATTTCAAGATTTGGCTATGGAAAAGTGAGCATTTTCAGACGAAGATGGATTCGACTATCCCGACCAAGCAGACGCCTTCGAGTGAGGTACGGCTCCAGGTGGCGACAAGTGATTGTGAGATCACGAAGATTCCGCCTGCGATATGGTAGGAAATTGCTTATGCTTCGTATTAAAAGGGGATTCATTAAGATATATCGAGGAAGACGTTGGTACCGAGTGAAACGGCGGTCTCGCAGAGTCCCTCGGCGCAGGAGAGTACGAAGGCGAAGGAGGAGATTGCGACGACGAAGGCGAAGACAACGAAGGCGAATCCGACGAATGCGGCGACGAAAAAGGCGACAGCGGCGACGGCGTAGGTTACGAAGACGAAGAGCCAGGATACGCAGACGAATGCGACGATTTAGACGAAGACAATTGAGAAGACGCAGAAGAAAATATGGAAGGAGACGAAGAATACGCTGGAAACGAAGACGCATAAGTGTGCTTCGAATATTTTACAGAGGGCGATGGATGAAAGCTTATCGAATTGGACGTTCACTGAGATTCCGATACGGTAGAATAAGGTATATAAAATAATTTTTACTCTTCTAGCTTTTTCTTGGCAGTGTAATGTTAACTCAGGAATGCAACTACTAGATCTTTATTTGTTTCATTGATTTTGCTTGGAATATCACATTTATACCCTGTCCGCACCGAAGCTGAAACGAGTTTAGCAGCTGTTCATTTACGAAATAAATAAATAAATAAATAAATAAATAAATTGAAATAAATCGCGATATTCGGACAGGAAGCCACACCAGCCTCACCTGGTTACCATGCAGGTCCTCATTTTAAACGTGAACAATGGAAGATATGTGCAAGATAGATCATTTCCCCTGTAGGCCTTATTCCCAAGGTAACATATCTCCCGACCTTTTTTTAGGTCAATCCCGGTTTCGGAGATCCCAGGAGGGTCTGGCAATAACCAATCCTGTTACGCAGAGTTTGTTGCGTGGACAGTCCACGTGGGTTTTGCACATATTTTCATACCTCCACAAAAACATCCACGCAACGCGCGTGGTGACTACCTGTGGAAGTAGTGCCGGGGTACCATGTCTTATATATCTTGAGAAGGGTTTCTTCCTTAGTAACGCTTGTAAGGGAAATTTTATCTCTTATCCTTCATCTTCCCTTGAAATGGTCAGAACTTGTTTTGTGCATAAACACTATTTAACTCAATTGTTGGGAATGGTCTTTTAATTAATCAAGCCACACGAGAGAGCCTGTTTTAGCCTTTGTAAGCTTTCAGGGTTGACTTTTTGCAATATTTTATCAGCGTTTTTTCTAACTAGTTTAGTTGTCGAGGAGGGAGTCTCACGAACTATATACTTAAACCAGTATACAACAAGTGAAATTTGCCTAAGGATAAAATAGAATTGCATTTTACTACATTACCCACAAAAATGCTGGTGAATCAAATTAGAATCGTACTTTTTTTCCGGTTGAATTCCTTCTCAACAAAATGTGCTGATTGGGAGCAGTGTAATAACAGAATTCGGTGCTCACTTGTCAGTTCAATGTTTCATTACCCTGCAGATGTCGTCGTGGTGTTGTTAGCATCGGTGTTGGAAGAAGATGGCATAGGATGACCAGACTTAGGGGTAGAGTGCAAGTACTCTACCACCGCATCTGGAGGAGTCTGATACGTAAGAGGCGAATGATAGTCGTTCGAATAGGCCGCAAACTAATGAAGATTTCCATTCGTCACGGGCGAGTACAGATGCTTATCCCAAGCCATTACGAAACGGTAAAACCGAAGCCGAAACCAAAACCAAGACCACGACGGAGGCGACCGACGAGAAGAAGACGAGGGCGTTATGGACGTGCGAGAGGACGAAGAAGGCGACAGCGTTGGCGACGACGATTACAACGACGACGTCGAAGACGTAGACGGCGCTACATACGCCGACGCAGGCGGCCTATGATTCTTTTCTATTACCGCAGAAGTTGGAGACCGATTGTGAGGTGGCGGGGTGGATACAGGATGCGTTACCATCGTCGATGGATAACCTTCCGGTGAGAAAAATGATATTTACAACAAAGGAAATGCCACTTAAAAATATCGTAGAGAATTGTTCAGGGGGAGAAACAATAACTTCGTGTACATAATTTTTAGATTGTGGTTAGTGAACATTCTAGCCATTCTTGTATATTCACTTCTTGCGTTAGGGTAAAAGTAGGTAGAAATGAGATAGCGCACAGAAAAATGACAAAATGGCAAATGACTTGAACTGCAGGACTTAAGCATTGTACGTCCGGACTGCCAGTTGCTGGAATTTATATATTTAATTTATTCTAATTTATTCGAGCTCCGGGAGTTGTGTTTGCGTCCTCCACGTCGGACAGCAGGATATTGAAAGTTCTGTTCTGACTCTATTTTATTTGAATTTCAATCAGATATCTTAGAGGACGATACTTCCGAGTAACGTACAAAGGAAAAAGCCGCATAATACGTCGAATCACACGGCGTTTCAAGGTCCGCGTGGGTTTTGGTTGGCGCTATATCGTAAGACGTCGTGGAAGGCTTGTTCTTCGGTTTAGACGGCGGTACAGACCATTCAGATTAACGGGAGGACGGCTCATGATACGCTACGGTCGGCGCTGGAGAGTAATCAGGAGAAAGCCACGACGACCAAGACGGCGAAAGAAATGGAGACGGAGACGAAGACGACGACGAAGGCGGCGAGTGAGACGTCGGCGTCGTCGATACCGACGCCGTCAGCGACGAATAAGACGACGCAACGTTCTTCATTTTAAATATGGCCGAAGGTGGATCCCAGCTTACCGCCGAGGTAGATACCTAAGAGCTCGAATCAGGGGTGCATGGAGAAGAATAAGGTATGACATCACAATCATTTAACTTGTCATAATTGGAGAGGAAAATTAGCAAAAGTAAAAACGTCAGTAGAATAAAAAGTAATCCACGGTGATTGGTCTTTTTTATTAGATTGGAGACAGTGAAACAATGCAAGAATCTATCAATATATATAACAACACACCCTTTTGAAGTAATTTATATAGCTTTTGTGAAATATGCGTTTAGTACAAACTAGGTCACTTAATGGCGTTTGAGACGTCTTGGCATTTTTTTTAATTGTTAAAAAATTGAAAAATTGTAGTCTAGTAGTGAACTCCATTGACCTTACGAGGTAGTTTCCAGACGACAGGCCGACGGCAGACAACAATAGGTTAAATAGAAATGGTGAGGGTCCAAGCACAAAAGTGTCAGGGCACTTTCAGAATTCATTACGAAATGCTTCTTCCGTTGACGTCTTACGTCTTTATTTATTAGGTACCGTAATTCCAGGATTGGAATTCGCTATGGCAAGAGATGGCGATGGTTGAGCAGAAGGCCAATAAAGTTCCGCTTTGGTCGGCGCTGGCGATTACTGCGATATTACCGCGGAAAACCTCGTATCCGATTCAGAAATAAAATGTGGCCAGTGCGTATAGTACGCGGCAGATTCCGGATAAAATACAAAGGGCTTCTGAGAAGACCGAGGACACGTAGAACCATACGAAGAAGAAGACGAAGGCGAAGACGAAGAAGATCACGCCGGAGAAAGAGAAGAATGAGACGACGGCGTCGGCGAAGGCGAAGAGGAAGGCGCGTAAGACGTGGCTGCGTCATGCGTGTATGGTTTAGAAGGCGATTTAGAAAGATTTACAGGCGAGGAAGGCGCCTTGTGATGCGTTTTAAACGTCGATTTAGAATTGTGAGGTAAGGATAATTTCTCTGTTGATCCGTAAAGACAACAACATACGGGAAAGCCATGCAAAAGAAATTATATTGATATTGCAACTAGCAAGGAGGGAAACGTTTGAATTGCGGCCCGATACGAAAAAAAAACCAGTCAATTAAGTACGTACAATGACAGATCAAAAACATTCCTCCTTCGCTTTTCACTTTATAACTTCTGTACTCAGATTTGGTATAGCTTTGTTAGACGAATAACAAAGAACTAACGGGCACTATACCCTGCAGGGAAATGTTCCACCTTCTCACCTCTCAGAGGCGGGGCGCAGCGAAAGAGAAAAGCCCTGGAAACGTGTACAAATAAACGCCACTGTTGTTATAATTACGTGTTTATAAATGCCATTCCTTTATCTACTAGATATCGACCCAGATTAGGAAAGATCTTATTACGGCGCAGACGAGGGTGGAGATCCATCAAACGTCGACCTCAGTTCCTCGTCAGACGCCGATGGCGTCCTACAAGACGATACAGAGGCAGGATCTGTGTCCGGGTAGGTCGAAAATACCGCAGAATCGGGTTCAGGCGCGGAAAACCTGTGTATCGTGTCAGAAGGAGGTGGAGACGAATCATACCGAGACGTAAACGAAAAGGTCGCCGCATACGCAGACGTAAATACCGACGCTTCAAGCGGAAGATGCGACGCGTAAGGCGCTATCGAAGACGAAAGAGGCGCAGAATCAGACGTATCCGGCGATACAGACGTCGCAACAGCCCGTTCAAGATCTATTACCGCAGAAAGACAAGGAAGATCTTCAGGTGGAAAGGTAGATTAACATTCCGCCTTGGAGGACGCCGAAGGAGAATCAGGTAATATTCTCTTTACTCTTCTGAACGCGTTCATCTAAAAGAAAAATGGTTTATCAGACATCCTTCCTAGACAAGGTGAAACTTGATTTTTTGTTCGTAAGTCGTGAACCTCATTGTACATTATTACTTCTCAAGAGAACTTTCATTCTCAGGTAATTTAAAGTCATTTTGTAGATCGAAAATATGACTTCAAGTATTTTGACATTGTTCCTTTAAAGAACATCCGTGGCATTGGCAATATAGAAATCGATGCTCACAGCTGGTGTATAGACATTCAAATAATGTAAAAAAAC